CAGCAGGTGTTTTGATACTTCTGTATTATAACAATAGCCATGCTTTTGTGTCTTGAATCTATTCGATCAAAATGATCTTGTCTTTGAATCTCACATTTCAAATGAAATCTTGAGTGTTAGTAGTCACTAGTCACTAGAAGTACTTGCTTCCACAGGATAACTGGCTACAGCAGATTAAGGAAAGTTTTCTGTGTTTTGGTAACAGTGAACAGTTGAAGCATCAGGCAAATGACTGTTTTTGAAAAGACTCAAAGGTTATCAACACATAAGTATATTTCCTTCTGCAACATGTTGGCTTGTATGAAAGAAGATTTATTTTTATACCTGTTTGTCTCTTGGAAAGCCTCCCTTGGTTGAATTAAAGAAACGGTCAGAGAAGTGATAACATCAAATTTACATGGACAGAAACAAGATTGAAACTGGAAGCAAAATAGCAACTTGTTATTCATTGAAGTATCAGAACATAGTAAGGTAACATTTATATTGTTGGTTTAAAAAATAGACCCTGAAAATTTCAAAAAGTACTTTTGGTGAAAAAAATCATTTCAGAAAACCCCATTGCAGTTTCATAATCATATTTATTGAGAAGCATTATCTCTTGAGGCAAAGCAATAATGATGAAGAAATTAGTGAGACTGGCAATCACCACTTCCTGGTATTAAGCAAGTTCTTCTAATATAGACATCATAGATATCTAATACATGCTCCTGTTACTCTAGATAGTTGGACCTAATCTAGTTCTCATTTAAAACAAAACATTTAAATGGTATTGGTTCCTGGAACATGATTTGTGACTGTGCACCATGCTCTTTTTTATTATTATTATTTTTGGATTACAGAGCACAAAAACAATTAGTAAGTAATAGGACTGCAGATTTTTGAGGTTGTGTTTTGCTTAGAAGGATGTCTGAATGAAGCACCCTCTCAAGGCTGCTTTGAGACCCTTCACTGCTGAAAATGAAGAGGCTATAGTACTTGGCTGTGTTCTTATCTGCTGACTATTTGGGTATTTGCATAAATCTATACAGTGGCTTTTCTGGGTTTTTCCTAATGCCAGAAGAGACTAAGGGTCTTTTCTCATTAGGTTGAACAATTTTCGACCCGTCTTTGAGTCAGCAGAAAACTCCTTTGCCAAACTTTATGATGCTTCTGTTGCTTCTAATCCCAGTCACTGACAGTCATCTGACAGTTATTCTTTTTTTAAAAAAAGAATTTCCCATTTAACATGCTGAAAATGTTAATATGGAGGCAACTTTTGATGGAGTTCAAGTGCCATTCCCAAAGTTTTTGAGGGTCATAGTTTCTACACTCCTGCTCCAAAATATCCTGTTGATAAATGAAGATTACAATTCCCAGCACCTCTGAGGAGTGCTGGATGATTTGGGTCTCTCAAAAGCTCTGTTTTATGAGTTTTTAAATTATTCTGCCTAGTTTGGATTTTATGAATATTATTACTGAAGCCAGTAAGGGTAAGCAGATCTTTGAAAAACTTCCTTTTAAATATTTCCCCTTTTTCTGGTAGATAATCTGGATATTATCCAATGTCTCTGTGTTAACTGTGAAGTTAATATTACAGTTCTAGGAAATGGAACCCCTGCAAAAATTGTCTTGATATTTACATGCAGTGTAATAGTCTAACCTCCCAATGTTCTGTATGTTTATTCCTATTTTCCACTTGGTCCGTTAACATTTATTACAGACTAAATCTGTAGAGGAAGCATGGTCAAATCTGATGTTTACTCAGAAATAGGCTTCTCTGAGTTCAATATCAGTAGATGGGAATGGCTATAGTTTAGAGCTACTCTCTACTGGCTGTTCATATTTCTGCAGCCCATATCAGTAGTGGTACTATAGAAAGTCCTCCTTGCATAGAAAGACTAGAGGTTGAAAGTTATGAGCACAGCTGCTAATTTTGAACATGATCTTGATGTTTGATCATTACCAGATTAAAGAAAAAACAGAAGACTGCATTTATAGTAATTATTGAAAAAAAGCATCTATACTGATAGTTTTAAAATATGTACATTAATTAAAATTTCAACATTTAAATTTTCAAATTGGGTAATTGGCTAAAACGTAGCCTTCCTTGTACTACATAGTTTAAAGAATATATTAGTCACAACCTGACAAGGAAAGTTTGGGAAGAAAGAAAAAGTTGAAGGCTAGATGCACATAGCAAGGAAGAAACTGGCATTCAAAACCATTCAAGAAACAAATTTGTCTCTTTACAGCCAAGTACAAGTAAAGTACAGACAATTACAGTTACTATAAGAAAAAATAATTGGGGAAAGCAGGGATGAAGCAAGTACAGACAGGTGAATATTGTTGTATAAGTCATGTTCACGGTGTCTCTCCACCTCAATGTGGTCCTTCATCTGTATTCCTTCAGTATTAATTTGGCTGATTATTTTAAAACATTCACAATTATTTTGGATGCTTTATTGGTTTTTTTGTTTTATTTTAAAATGGTTTTGCTTTAAAAGCTCTCTTTGTCCAAAAACAAGTCCTGTATTTCTGCTGTCCTTTGATGCTCCTTGTGATCTTGATACTAAAAATAAGGTTTCTCTAATGAACATGTGGAGACTAATTAATGTGAGGACCCAGAAGATTGCATCTGCATTGATTAATCCAGTGTCATTCTTGTGTTCTTCAGTTGCCCTTTGCCAGTGTTACAGCAGGCACTGATTGAATAGTTACGTTGGAAAAGAAGGGAAATGTAATCAGAGAATAAGCACAAGTGTCTTAATTCTAGTGATATTTGACCACGGTCCTTATTAGAGGTAAACTGCATTGGCACAGGTACCTGGTAGATGATAGTGCTTGTTCCATGATGTCATCACACAAAAACACCAAATTAGGTTCTTGCGTCAACTACATATCACAAGGCATGCAACATTCCTTGCCCGCTTACCTTCTTTGCTGATGCCGATCCCCAATGGCGTTTTCACAACAATCTCAGCTGCCTTAGAGCTAATAACTGACCTTCCAGAATGTAAGCCCCGATGAACCACCCAGGATGGCACTAGGTGCTGAGTTCTGCCATTCAAACTACTCTGCAGTGCCCTTCTGCATCAGAGTCCCCAGAGTTGGGGGGGGGGGTAATTGCTGTGGCAGGTGCCAGTGGCAGAGCTGGTAAGGTACCCTGCTCTTTTTGCTGCTGCTGCAAAAAAGATCCTCTCTGGAAGGATGCTGCCACTTCACGGTCCTTGTAGGGGGAATTGCTGCTACTGAGTGTCTTCCCCACTTCGAAGGACCTAGCAGACCAGCTAAGACCTTGGGTAAGCATGAGAGAGAAATTCACTGAGTTGGCATATGAAGACAAAGTTAACTTTTTCATCTTTTACACAAACCCAATTTTTAATTATCATTCAAAGTTTGTAGTTCTCTGAATTTTGCTATGCAGCAATACTACTTATACTACTACTGATAATAATAATAGTGTAAATATCTGCCTGTCTTAATGAAAAGAACATTAAAATACAGTATGCATTATACAAGGGTTGTTTACAAAATCTGTATAAAATTTCAACAAAAATTTGCATTTAAGAAAAATGCGCACCAAAATACATACTGTATAAGTGTGACTTCATTTAAGAAAAACTTATTTTTGACAAACAATTTCAAAAAATTTGCAAAAATTAGAAATCAGAATGGATGAATTCACCCATCCCAACCATTGATTCAAAAGCCCTAAATGTGAGTCTCTCATCCCATAATGTCCATGTGTCTGACTTATGACTATACTTGCCATTTCTATTTTTTTAGAAGCTATTATATTTATTTATTACCCAAGCTCTCAATATGCTTAGTTGTCCATGGCTATCCATAAGCTTTTCCTAAACAAAATGTGTATTCTTGCAATGATAATCATTCCACTATTTATTAGTTGTTATACCTCAGGTTCCACCATACTCTCAAAAAGACAGCAATGATAAACTAATCCACAGAGACCGTTCTTTCTTTATCCTAGAAAGGACTTTCTTTCTTCTGGTCCACTGCTTTTTATTCTGTGCCGCTTTCACAACTTGGGTAGAATAACTTTGACAAAACCAGTATAATTAACGTATTTCTTTTGAACCCCATTGTGAGGCTAAGACTGTTTCAACTGGTGCATTTCCCTGAATTTTTGATTTGGTGCAGATGTGTGATAAAATTCAATGCAATAAGTAGTCAAAGGCTAGAGTTAAGCATCTGCATAGTATTTTCTGCTTGTCATCAATATTTTGTTCATTGTTTAGGAAGTGCAAAAATGATTCAAGAAATTACTTAGTAATGTTGATATTGGGTTTGATCATACTCTAGGCCTATTGAAATAAATAGATTTCAAGTAAGTTACAATTCACTCATGTATTTCATCACTTTTAGGGGCCCTAAAGCATGACTAATTTAGTCTGGTTCAATGCCATTGTTGTTATTAGCTATAGTACATTTATATCAACCTTTCTACTAGACCATGTGTGATGGTTTACATCGTCCTAACTGTAAAAAATGCAAAATGTAAAGTCAAATCAAACTGAAAGAAGATAAACAGCAGAGTTAAATCAAGAGCAAACTTTTCCATCAAAGTATCGTCAACTCTTCTCCCTTACTGAGAAAGGAAGCTGGCTTTACTGCAAAGGATTCTGGAGCCTCCTGTTTTTCCACCATTTCTGCATTTTCTAATTGGCATGCATTTCCCTCCCTTCCTGGACTATTGCTTTAGCAGTAGTTTACATCCTCCCACAGTTTAATTAGGGTCAAAGGTCAAAGGCCACTAAATGCAGTGCATTGAAGGAGTGTTAATAAAACGATGCATTAAAACTGATGTTTTAACATATTAAAAGATATGTTCTCCCAGTTTTGGGCTCTAACTTAGCTATTACCAAAGGGACAGAAGCCTGAAAAATCCTGCCTAAATAAATTAAAAAGTTCCATATAGTTGCTATTTATCTATTTATTCATTAGAACCAAGATCATTGTTCTTTAAATTAACAATAATGTTCTTGTCTTTCATCCTACAGAAATGTTTGAATCCAGCAATATAGCTACTTTCCATGGACTGGTCAATAGTTCTAGTTACCATACATTCCTTTTGGATGAAGAACGGAGTAGACTCTACGTTGGAGCAAAGGATCACATATTTTCTTTCAACCTAGTCAACATCAAGGATTTTCAAATGGTATTTTCAGCCTTTTTAATCATTTTTCATCTTTAGATGTAGGCATATGGGATAAGGTGACCAAATATTTTGAGCATCAAAATGTGATAGAGTGTTCAGTGTGGGTATAAAGCAGAATGTTGAGCCACTTAGTTATGCAGGTCCATTTGCGCATTATAACCCTTATAAAAAATATTCCATATAGATAGGATAGGTGAACCCATTCCAACACATGCAGAACGTGAAAAGCTAAGCAGGATATAGTTTCCTTTTCTCTTTTGTCTTCTACCTTTGTATCACTATGATTGGAACTCAACATGCATGTATTTAAAGGCAACTTGGGCAAATAACCCCTTTGAATAGGATCTTCAGACTAAATTGCAGAAATGTTTTGATGTATTGAATTGAAATAAATGCATTCAAATTGATTCAAAGGTTAGATAGACTTTTGTACAAGTACACTAACACTTTATAGAATTGGATTTAAATACCTGAAGAGTGCTAAGAAGACGGGTAGTTCTTGACTTACGACCATTCGTTTAATGATCATTCAAAATTATGATGGCGCTGAAAAAAAGTGACTTACAACCTGTCCTCACACTTATAACCATTGCAGTGTCCCCACGGTCAAATGATCAGAATTCGGGTGCTTGGCATGTATTTACAACAGTTGCAGTGTCCCAAAGTCACATGATCACAATTTGCAACCTTCCCAAGAGGCTTCCAACAAGCAAAGTCAATGGGGAAGATTGCGTGATTCGCTTAACGACCATGGCAAAAAAGGTCATAAAGTTGGGCGTGACTTACTTAACGACCATATCAGTTAGCTAGTGATGGAAGTTCTGGTCAGGAGTATAAGCTGTCAACCAGTGGAACAGGCTGTCACATGAAATCATGAGTTTTCCATCACTAGAGGCCTTCAAACAGAGGCTGTATGGCTATCTGCCAATGATGTTCTGGTGGATGCTACACTGAACTGGAGGTTTATTTATTTATATTTCAAATTACTCACTGCCCAGCCCACTACAGAGTGACTCCGGGCAGTTTACAGTAAAAACAGAATAAACAATTAAAATAAATAAATATTAATTAAATAAATAAATATGCTAGAAAATAAACTTCCTGTATGATTCTTCCAAGAGGCTGATGTTAATTAGGTGTTAATAAACTCAGGGAGCATCGTCAAGGCACCAGCCATCCCCAGGATCGGTTGTATCTTTCCTTACCCCATGCAAGTTGGCAGAGCCAAGTCTTCAATTCCCTCTGAAAAATTAGAAGGGTGGGGGCCTGCCTCAACCCTGGGGGGAGAGTATTCCATAAGGCTGGGGCAACAGCAGAGAAGGGTCTCCTCCTAGGACCTGCCAGTCCACATTCTCTCACCAACGGGGTCCTCAACATGCCCCCTCTGCCTAACCTGGTGGGATGGGTCGATGTGATGGGGGTGAGATGGTCCCTCAGGCAACCTGGACCCATGCTATGTAGGGCTTAACCAACACCTTGAATTGGACCCAGAAACAAACTGGAACTCAATGGAGCTCCTGCAGCAAAGGTGTTACATGTGCCATCCTTGGGGCACCTAAGATTGCCCATGCGGCCACATTTTGAACCAGCTGTAGCTTCCAGATACTCTTCAACGGTAGCCCCATGTACAGCTCATTGCAGCAGTCTAAACGAGAGATGACCAGGGCGTGAGTGACAGACTGAATGGACTCCTGATCTAGGAAGGGGCATAACTGGCATACAACATGAAGTTGAGCAAAGGCCCTCCTGGCCACAACTGCCGCCTGCTCCTTGAGCAGGAGTCGTGAGTCCACGAGGACCCCAAGATTACTTACTGTGTCTGTCTGGGGCAGTGCAACCCCACTGAGAACCAAAAATGGTAGACCCCCAGATACAGAGAAGATGTGATGGAATGTATCTACAAGGAGGAGAGTGATGTCAAGGCTATCAGGAAGGAGAGGCTGCATTCCAGCAGGGGAAAGTAGACAAAAGACAACACAGTTCACAGGGGGAGCATTAGAAGAGTAAGAGATTCAGGATAGCCACTCCCTAGAATCTCCCAGGGTATATCCACTAGTTGCTGTAGTATAGATTTAGTTTGGCAAGTTTCTGCCTATAAGGTATAAGCAAATAAAGGAACTGTACTCGACTGGACCGTTTCATTGTTGTTCTTGGGCTGGGCCTGACAGGAGTCTCCAATCCACAGCCTTGCCAGGAGTCAGCTGAAATCTGTTGTTCCCCATTCAGACCCCTACAGCCTCCAGGCACTGCGAAAGGGTGCATCACAGCATCACTCAGATCACCTAGGATGGAGATGTATAACTGGGTATCATCTGGGTATTGATGATACCTCATCTCATGGTGGCGGATGATCTTACCCAGTGGTTTCATGTAGGTGTTAAAAAGGAGCAGAGAGAGTTCAGAACCCTGTGGTCCCCCACAACAGAGGGGCTATGGGCCAAACCTCTTGCTCCCAATCAACACCAATTGGAGGAAGGAAGTAAACCAGCACAAAACTGTGCTGCCCACTCCCTAAGTCGGTCCAAAAGGATACCATGGTCGATGGTATTGAAAGCCACTTAGAGGTCAAGAAAAGTGAGAATGGATGCACTACCCCCATCCCACTCCTGCCAAAGATCATCCATGAGTGTGACCAATGCTGTTTCCTTCCCATATCTGGGCCTGAAACCTGACCAAAAAGGGTCCAGATAATCCATTTCATCCAGCATCACCTGGAGCTGCAATGCCACCACCTTCTCAACCACCTTCCCTAAAAAGGGGAGGTGGGAGACTGGATGAAAATTGTCCAATATGGTGGGATCTGGGGATGGTTTCTTGAGGAGGGGATGCACCAGCGCCTCTTTAAAAATGACTGGAAACACCCCCTCCCTCAAGGATGAATTCACCATCGCTTTGACCCACCCACGTGTCACCTCCCAAGCGGCCTTGGCCAGTCAGGAGGGGCATGGGTCTAGTTGACAAGTGGTGGCATTAATGGTCCAGAGGACCCTGTCCACTTCCTCAGGTCCAACAGGATCAAACTCTTCCCAGATAACAGGTTGGAAAAGATGATGTCTAAGCTTTCTTCCAACCCTATTATTTTATAATTCTGTGAATTACTCAGTTGAGTTTATTTGACTGTCGAATCACAAAATTCAAATGGACTCTTTGAATCAAATTGCAAATGTGAATCTACTTTTGGTTGATTCACACAAAAAGGATGACAAAACAGTGATGTTCCAGTTTTTAACTATTGAGAAAACAAAATGGAATGAGTTATGAATAAACACATACAAAATTGGCAGAGTAGAAATGGACTGTTTCATCCACCACAAGCCTCCATAAGGCATCCTTGGAATCTTACAAGTGCTAATCTTCATTCCTGACACTGAACACCAGATTAATTTATATACCATCAATCCAGTAAATAGTGATCATTCATCAGAAGGATGTTCTTATCTGTTCAACCTCAAAATCCAGTTTGTTCACATGTAGCTGGAAAATATAGATGGAAAAGGCCAGAGGCACTTAAAATAACTAAATTATATAAAGACTATGAATCTGATTTTATTCTTCATTTTATCACTTCAGATGTTTCCATTCAGAAGGTTAAAGTTATTAATAAGCCATTATAGATGGAATATTGAGGGCTGCATCATGATGGATGGCCTTGGCTTTGAAAGTAGAGATTTAGGTTGGAAGCTAATACACATTTCATTATGAAAGCATATATGTACTTAATAAAACATTAAATATATGCATAACATAACTATATTTTCATGAATCCTCAGTCAAAAAAGTGAGCTGGTTTAAGGGGAAAATATTGAACTAGCTATCTGTGGGAGAGAATTAAGAAGAGACAGTGCAAATAAAAATAAACCATATTATAAAATTATTGCTTTAAAACTGGCAAGGTTAGTTCTACTTTGTATTAATCCATGGCCCATTAATTCCTTAAATGATAACTTTTTTTTCCAAAGTCCTAAGCAAAGATTTGTATTCTCTGAAGATCAAGTTCAAAGCAAAGTTGGCCATTTCCTATTCTCTCTAGAGCAACCATAAAAGAAATGAGTTATTTGTTTGGATATACTGTGAGGCTCAGGATATACTGCAGAAACATCTGGAATCATTAAAGAACCAGACTGCTGCTGTAAGTAAAAAAGTGTAAACAATTTAGGGTGAATTCACACATGGACTCTGTTCTCTGTTCACACCTGCATGGTGGCTCCAGATAGTGACTGGATAAATTCATGAATCATAGGCCTACAGAAGCATCAATGTGGATGAAGGATTTGACCCTGGGAACAGCTTAGGGGAGGTTGCTGCCTTGAGTACTTATTTTCAGTGTTTGAATGCAGTGGTCTGTCCATTTTTGGAAAAAGGTCATGAAGAACAGGACTATTTGGGCTGAGCTAGCAGAAATCAGTTTCTATTGAGTTCAGAATCTTGTCTCCAGTAGTTGTCAGATACATCCAGGAAATCCAAGACCAGAATATATCCAGCATCAAGAATTCAGAGAAATGTTGCCTCTGAACATAGAGTTTCTTTTCTTTAATTTTCTTTTTTAATGAAGTACAACTACATTTGTTCACGTTTTCCAAAGAAAAAGGCTGGGCTTAAAGAAAACACAACACTCAGAGTTCTAATAGTAGTCATCTCCCCACATTCCACAGACCAGAGTTTGACACAAATAAGAAATATTTAATTCCCACTAACTGCTTTTCCAAAGCTTTTTAGATGTCCTGTTCCACCTTTTAAACTTTTTCTTGCAAGAATCTGCTTGTTTCTTTCCCCCTTTTGTGCCTGTTTTGTGAATTGCTTTGCCCAGGCTGCCATTTTCCAATTTGCTAGTTTTCCTATTTCTTTCCCTATCTCCATATTTCCCTAACTCTCTATTTCATCACTGTCTGTTATAAAGATGCTGGTGGTCTCCCTGCCTTTGGAACCTTTTTGGGGAACAGTTCAGATGGATGTAAGTCATTCAGGCTATTGTCCGTTTCATTTACACCATCCCAAAATAATACCCTCTGCCAAGGCTTCCTGCTCCCATTCCAAAAGCTGTGGTCCATTTCTTGCTGCTGTTGCTTCTTCTGCAAGAGGCAAGGCAAACACACCTCCAGCCTTTCCTTCTGACATTCTTTATAATGCTGAAAGACCTCCTGATAGTGCTGGCCTTAGGCATGATTGGGAAGGTTCTCTGGTTCCTTATTGAGATGATGGAAGTAAGCTTGTAGAAGAACTGATTGGAATTGTTGGTACTTGGCACAATTTGCCATTTGTACACACTTACTTGTACGAATCTTGCTCGACCACAGCTTCAGGCCTTCCTGAAAACATCCATGTATTTTGTTATAGATGTTCCAACTTAAAAATCCATCATGAAACCTCTACCTGCATTTGCTGTTCTTTGCCTTATTGACCTTAAATGAACTTTCCCCTGCTTTGTTTGCAAATTGATTAAAGATTAAGGTTATAGTGCAGCCACATGGCCCATTTATATTGCATGATGCTGAAATTTGATCATGTTTTATTCTATGTGCAATTCTAAAAGCTTTTTAAAAGACATACATAATTAATTAAAAGGAGTCTTTGGGCTTTTGCATTAGAAGATGAAATTGATTGTTAAGAACTAATCACAAACATAATCAGAAATGAAATTGTGAATCACTGTAGAATAATTGGCACACATCCATGATAGTAACAACCTCAGAACAACTTTAATGCAGGAACTGACTTCTAGTTATATTGAGTGACATCTTCCATTATTGCCATGCCAGGTGACTTTAGGGGAGTTGGAGTCCAACAAGCCTATGAGGAAGTATAGTGCCACATTTCCTCCATAGGACAAATGACACTCCATACACTCTAACATTCTGGTTTCCAAAATTGTCAGATATTTTTTTCAGAATCTACAAACCAGCAGGAAGGTATTGATTTATCCTCCATTTGTTTCGGTATTTATCATCCACTCTAAACACAGAAATTTCCAGCATATTTAGAAATGAAATTGTAATGGGTTATGGGTTTGAGTATTGATGGAGGGATGAGTGGATGGACGGATGATGGATAGATGGTAGGTAGGTAGGTAGGTAGGTAGGTAGGTAGATATGCTGCCTAGGTATGGAAAGTCCACTTTTTTTACTTGCTTGCATAATTTTATATAATTTTATTTTTGTATTGTCGAAGGCTTTCACGGCCGGCATACGATGGCTGGTGTGAGTCTTCCGGGCTGTG